CCCTGCCCTGAACCTGTGCTGTCCTTGGCCTGCCCTCCATCTGCTCTTTCCTTTCAGAAGAGAGGAACTCAGCTTCATTCCTGCAGCAGGAATCTTCTTCACGTTGGTCACCCAACCGTGTATTACGATCGCCTCTGTAATCTCAAAAGGGCTTGGTCTGGTTTTATTTTCATAAACAAACAAGTTAACAACAGAATAATGTGACTGCCTCCTCCTGCTTCCTCCTGCCAGGAAGTCCAGAAAGACAGCGAGGCCAGCCCTTATAAGTCAGGTTGCTGATAATCCACCCCCGTGAACGGAAACCAGCAGCAGGCTCACACCCCACCTTGGGTGTCATTCTGAACATCAGATAGTTATTTAAAAGATGATAGTTGCTTTGTGAATTATCAAGTAGGAGGTGAGTGCTTAATTATGGCTGTTTGTCAGCTGCTTTTCTCTCCTATCAGTCTTTCCCTGTCTCCTGAGAAGGAGGCCATTAGATTTAGTGAAAAAATCTGGATGTGATCCCTGGTGGACCAGAACTGTCCCCTGAAACCAAAACACAGATGCAACTTCTCTGATTGGCTCCATGCTACATATCTTCCCCCAAGGGGAAGCAGGGAGGCTGCCCTGCTCTAGAAAAGGTACTAGTACCCCATAGCAGCATATACCAGGACTGCGGCCTTCTGTGAGTACCCTTTGGGATAGGCAGCTGATAGCATGGAAGTTCCACAAAAGAGGAGCAAAAAGGCAAAAGAGCTGTCAACCGGTAGAAGAATTTAATCCCAGACCAAGGACATCCAGGAGAGAAGAAGCTGAGTCCATTCTAGAGCAGGTCAGTCTTCTTCTCCCATGGGTTTGAGTCTCAGAGCTCATCTGGACCACTCTTTGCCTACAGACAGGACCACTCAACCTAAACAGATACAGAAGAGATCTTAACCATATTTTTTAAAGGTCTCGTGTTGATTCCAGGTTCCAATAAATAAGGCCCATATTTGCCAACAAAACTTTTGGAGGTTAAGGAAAACATTTCACCTCCTCCACTCTTACCATGCCCAGAAACCTTTCCTTATTTCACACCCAAAAGCCATGCAGTAAATGACACCAGATAGCCCCACAGGTATCATCACCAGGAAATCAGCACATGGGTATTTTATCGCCACGAGCCATTAAGTCCTTGTTCTGCTCTCTGAGCTTCTCCGTGGCCATCCAGCTGATGGAAACCCATAGAAACCCTAGAGAGCAGCGTCAAACGACCTCGTGAGGTTCCAAGGCTGGCAATCTTCACAGAAGCAGACTTTCATATCTTTCTGGCTGGCAGGTCCAAGCTACTGACTTTTCAGTTAGCAGTTGAGTACTTTAACCTCTCTAATATCAGGATGACTCCTGAGCTTCTTATTAGTCTTTTTCATGAGAGCTCCTCCCATATTTGAAAGCAACTTTCCTAGGACTATGCTAGGGTGTGTTTTTTTCAAGTTAAATATCATCAGTCTTCATATATTCTTCATATTTTTCAATTCCCAAGTCCTAGTTCATGGTTTAAAAAGAATCTCAAATTATTTTGTCATAAATGGATTCGAGTCAGGTCTTTTCCTTCCTGTACTTGTTGAGCTGATTGTGAAAGTCTACATTTGTACCTCTGTCAAATTTCGTCATATTTTTAGTCTGGCATTCCAGAAGGTAAGATTACTTTGAATTATAATTCTGTCGTCTCTAATATTGGTTATTCCTCCTTGTATCATATCCTCTGAAATTTAGTGAGGTAGGCATGTTTGCTATGTTTACTGAAGTTACTGCTAAAGCAAGTGAAGACGAGACCTACGAAGCTTCTTTTCCCCTAGGCAGCTTCCCCGATATTTTCAGAGAATCATTAATGAATAGTCTTGGTAAATAGCCAAGCTGAGAGTGTTACTTTTAAGAATACAATCACCATCTATTCTATGAAGTTTTACTGAAATTACTATGCTTCCTGTCTACTCTTCTTTCCAGATCTACTAAAGTATTGATACTATTAATAAGGGTTATTTCATGAAGTTTCACCCTACAAATAGCATTATACAACTTCTGGTGATCTATTAGGGACTTCCCATTGCTCTGTAAAACATCTATTTAAGAATTTTACCAGGGACCAAAGTCAAATTCACTAGTTAGCAACAGCAGTAGTAACCTTTTTTCTGATAAGCATTGATTCAGACTCCAGATTATAAAAGTTTTGGGTCAATTGATTGATTGGTTGATTGATTTAGTTTTCCTTCATTTCTTCTCTTGCATCATCTCTTTGCTAAACCCAAGGGTCGTATTTGCTGTCTCCTTCTGGCTCTTTAAAGAATCACTAATATATATGACAGAATATGTTCAGATACATATGACGTTTTCAATTTGCTTTGTGTCTCTACCTCTATGTAACTAAATGTGTCTACATTACAAAACCCAAAGACAAAGGGAAATCTAAGGCCAGAACAGAAAAGCCCTGTGTTTTTGTTGCCATCTGCTAATGGGGAAGACATCTTTATTAACTTCAAAAATAAAAAAAACGATATGATGTTGGACTTTCTGGTTCCCAGTCCCTGTGCCCCCACCACACACACACACACACACACACACTATTTATCTGACTTCCACCTTCAATCTTAGTTAAGGTTCCATTAATAATCTGATGCCCCTTCAATAGAGAATAACACAGAGATTCCGTTTCTCTTTTAGCAATTCTTAAAATGCCTCTTTCCCTGGTCTAATCATTAGTTATCCGATGTTACAATTTCTTCATAACAGCTAGTTATTAGAAAAGGATTGGAACTGACTTATTTTTTCATTCATTCAGTCATTCTATGAGTCTAGATGAGGTAGTACTGCACTAGTGAAGAGAATGCATCCTTTATCACGGTAGAAATTTTTTAAAGAATCCCCAGGTAGGTAAGGTAAATGGAACATTTGACCTCGGTGGAGAGTAAGGGCAGGAGAATCAAGGAAAAGAAGGTAGCCCCATCTTACAACCTAACCAGAGACTGGGAAATGACTTAGTTTAGAAATGGGGTTACCAAGAGTCACCTGGCCACTTTCCAATGGCAAATAATGACTTTCCAGTGGAGTTGGGCATGACTTCACTAATATGTTTCTATACGTCATCTCTCACAGAGAAGATTGTATAGATTGCTAATACAGATTTCCAAGTCTCACTTTCTCAGGAAAGGTCTGAGATGAGTGATTGCCTGAGGAACATCTATCATCTCAGAGTGAGACCCCTCCCCAGAGGACATGGACACCTTCCCAGTCTGAGGAGACTTAGCAAAGGCAGTCCTCCCCGTGGTGAGCTATCCGGATTACCAGGTCAATAACTCACTGCTGTGAAAGAGCACTATGCTGCTCTCTGATTCTGACATTCCTATCGCTCAGAAAAGATTTAGGAAAACACTGTTGAATAGTAGACTATTCAGGAGTTTTGGAGTCGGGCATGTCTAGGTTCAAATCCTGGATCCACCAGAGTGACCTTGGACAATTGACACCAACACACTGAGTCACAATTTCTTTTCTATAAACAGGAAACAATAAGGCCTGTCACCAATGCTTGCTATGATGGATAAATGAATAGGCCAAGCATAGCATGCAGCCAAAATAGGAGCTTACTGAGTGTTAGTTACCTTCCTCTCTTCCCTTGGGCCCCAGATCTAAATGAGGGAGCAGTCCAGGGATGACCGTGACAACCAGACCACCTGGCTGATCCTAGTGGGATTCGGGGAGCTGCGACATCTGGGCTTCCTACCCTTCACTCTCTTCTTGGTCATCTATGTGGTGACAGTCGGGGGCAACGCCCTCATCGTGCTGGTGGTGGCCTCCAGTCGGACTCTCCACACACCCATGTACTTTTTCCTCTGCCATTTCTCCCTCCTGGAGATTGGCTACACCTCCAACATCGTGCCTCGGCTTCTGCAGAGCTTCTTGGATGGCGAGGAAGCCATCTCGCTGGCCAGCTGTCTGCTCCAGTTCTACATGTTTGCCTCCCTGGCTGCGGCCGAGTGCCTCCTGCTCTCTGCTATGTCCTACGACCGTTACTTGGCCATCTGCCGCCCCCTTTACTACCCTGTCCTGATGAACCCCTGGTTGTGTGGCTGCCTGGCCACTGGCGCCTGGCTCAGTGGCTTTACCTTCTCTGCTTTCACTCTGGCCTTAGCAGCCCCTCTGCCCCTCTGTCCTGGCATCAGAGAGATCAACCACTACTTCTGTGACTTTGCTCCAGTGGTGGGATTGTTCTGCGGGGATGTGGGGGTGATGTGGGGCACTGGAGTCAGCATCTCAGGCTTCCTGACCCTGGCTCCTTTCCTGTTCATTGTGGCATCCTATGCCCTTATCCTGCGGGCTGTGCTGCGAATTCCCTCAGGCCGTGGGAGGCAGAAAGCTTTCTCTACCTGTTCCTCCCACCTCAGCGTAGTCGGGGTTTTTTATGTCACCCTCATTGTGGTCTATGTGGCCCCAACAGATCACATGCCCCCCTTGCTCCGAAAGGCCTTCTCTGTCCTGTACACTGTGCTCACCCCTATGGCCAACCCCATCATCTACAGCCTCAAGAACCAAGAGGTAAAGGGGGCCCTTCACAGACTCTGGAGACAGCTCGCGCCAGGCTGCAACTCGCTGGGAGCGCCAAGACGGCTACTGCCTTCTTCCTGAAGTCCACCTTCCTTTCCTCAACTAGATGGATTAGCGGCTACTGTAATAAGAAGAGTGAGACGGTGGTATTAACGGTGCACGTCTGAAGCGAGAAGTAATTTCCTTTTTCCTCTTGGGATTGGATGAGGATCCCGAGCGCCGTGCCTCACACAGGACCTAAATGCTACAGACATTCCAAAAGGTTAGTTGAGAATGACCATGTGAATAAGCAATACAATTTGAATTGTGCAGGCACGCACGCGCACAAGATTAGTTGAAAAGAAATACACGAGGTCAATAAGATTGAGAAAACTGCAAGAAGGGAGTGAGAAAATAAGAGCAAGTGGGAGGCTATTTGAAGATCCTGACTCCACCGTGGCAAAGAATGAAGGCTGGCAGCTAGGGACAGGGGGGTTAGAGAGCTACGAATGAGAGCCAGAATTAAGTTAAGATCATACGGCACGGAGAGACATACTTCAAAAAAAGTGTCAGAAACTAAGAAGCAACACTGGGGTCTAAAGACTAAAGTAGACAGGGAAAGGATAAGAGCTACTTTCACTGCACACAGGGCTCGGTCTTGGGAGAGGAAGGGTCAGTTAGAGGCAAGGAGGAAGCTCTATCCACTAATGCATGAAGCCCAAGAGGCCAATTAGGCCATTGTTCTGGGAGTCTCAGTAGTCCCGTCTTTGATTTTGAACCAATAGGTAGCAGGGAAATAAGGAAGGCAATTAAACTAGAAAAGGAGATAAATTAAACTCGATGAGGGAATTCTGGGATTTTTGCCTCTATTAGATCATCTTTGATGGCTTTTTTAAATGACATGAAGACAGTTTCTTATTTTATTTTTTTATTTGAAGTATAACAATTTGTTTCTCAAAGTCTGGTACATAGACCACCTATATCAAAATGAGCTAGAGTCGTTGTTTACAAATGCATATTTCTGGGCTTCTCGCCAGCCTTACAGAATCAGAATTTCTAGAGTAATGCCTCAAGATCTGCACTTAGCAAACTTCACAAGCTATAGGGAAAAGGCATAGTTTCAAGGGATGGCAGGTTAACAGTAGAAAAACAGAACCACAACAAAATATCGAGATACTGCTATTTAATATAGATCCTAGTTCCAATCTCATAGATATCCCTGAGTAGGCACACAAGTAAGCGCAGGACGAGGGTAGAGAGAGACAATTTCCCTGGCCTGCATAGACCGAGAAGACACAGCAAAAAGAGACACAGAAAACCGCCCTAGCTGACTGCTGTTTGTGTGACATCTGGACTTGGGCTGTGCCTGGGTATTAAAAATGTCTGTGATGTTTTGAAGTTTTTTGCATTAAAGGCAAAAGTAAAATCCCATGTTGTATGTGACAGTGTCCTGGAGGGAGGGCCAGGCTGAAGAAAGCAGTTTCCCTGAACAAAAAGCTCAGTTTACCTGAACAAAAAGCTAGTGAAATACCACTCTGACCATGCCTCCTGTGTGAGGCACCTTGAGAACAATCTGTGTATATGGTAAGTAGAGAATTGTCCAGGAGCTACACTCCAAAGGGGTCAAGGGCGACTCCTAAGGCATTTAACTGCATGAATGATACTATTTCAAGGATTTTTAGAAAGCTCCAAGTTTTAAGAAGTCCCTACACTAAAGTAAAC